CATCAAATCGTGAGATTGATTGATTGATTGATTGATATTTTCCTGATGCACCACCAATCGACCACCAACGCACCATCTCCCCTCATGTGGGTAACTTCTCCTTTCTCAAGATGCTAGATCTTAGTCGTAATAATTTTCATGGTCAACTTATTCACTAGATCAGTCATTTGCGTCGCTTGAAAGTACTCAATATAGAGTTTAACTATTTGGAAGGGGTGATCCCTGCAAGTATACACCATTGCCGACAGCTTCAACTCATATCTATGGCAAGGAATGAATTTACTGGCAGCATACCCAAGGAATTGAGTACCTTGTCTAGTCTTAGTGTGCTTTTTCTAGGCCGAAACAACCTCACAGGTACAATTCCATCTTTCTTTGCTAACATGACAAGCTTAAAGTGTCTTGGTTTGGAAGCTAACAAGTTTCATGGCAATATTCCTAATGAGATATGTAATGTTCCAAGTTTGGAAGTAATTTTTTTCGGTTTAAATTATCTCACTGGGTCGATTCCTCCATTTTTATTCAACATCTCCTCTATCCAACGAGTTCATTTAGACAGTAATGACCTTTCAGGAAATCTTCCCTTGAGCAGCACTTCTTGGCCTTCTAATCTTGAATTTCTTACCCTTGGAGCAAATCAACTCAGTGGAAACATCCCTTCCTATCTGTCCAATTTTTCTATGCTCGTTGATTTATGTCTAGGTGTCAACCAATTCACTGGAACAGTACCCGCCAGTCTAGGCCACTTAGAATCACTGACAACACTTAATCTAGAGAATAACCAGTTAAGTATAGAACCGAGAAGTCAGGAACTTAGTTTTCTCACTTCTTTGACAAGCTTGAAATCCTTGAAAAGGTTGTCTATATGTAATAATCCAGTTGGCGGCTTCTTACCAGATTTTTTGGAAATCTTTCTAGTTCCCTTCACAGATTTGATGCATGTAATTGCCAACTAATGGGTTAAATTCCCGGGGGAATAGGTTCCTTTACAAACTTGAATTACCTTATCTTGAGTGGGAACAATTTCAACAGTTATGTCATCCCAGAATTCCTAAACGCGTGATGTAATAAAGAATAATTCTTTTTATTGCGAGTTAGTCGTCCCGATTATCATATGATATGGGATCTACATAAACCCGTGAGATAACCCGACTGTCATAATATGACATTACTGTTCAATTAAAATACTTTAGTACTGTTCAATAAATATACTTTATTAAAGAAGATGGTATTACTGTTTAACTTTGTAAAAAAGGTAATCTAAGTAAAAATGAAATTAAGAAAGCTTTTGTTATTTTCTTAAAAAAAAAAAAATAAGACAGAAGGTGCATGTCGACTTTTGCAGACAATTGGAGTGTAGATATCATCTCCTTAAATAAAGAATCTTTATTGCAAAATAATAATAATAATAATATATAAAGAGTAAATATTGATCCTTGTTTTATTCTATGATTTTGGGTTATTTATTTATTTATTTTTAAAGATTTTCATTGTATACATTAAGATAACGGTGCCTGTATAATTCAATCCATCTTTAGCATATTCACTATATTTCTCTTTGTTTTCAATCGTCAATAAGAATCTAATTGCATAAATGGTTCCATGCAGGAACAAGGGAATTTTATTTGTTGCTATTGACCAAAATAGACCTCTCTCAGATCAAGGTCGTTTTGACATTGTTTTGCACAAGGTTAGTGGAAACTTATGTTTGTATTACCACCTCCTCTGTTGTCTGTGTATGTTAATTTTAATTTTACCATAAAGGTCCCAGATGCTTTTCATGTTTTATGAGTTGCTTGTTCTGTTTTGTTGTGTTATGACTTATAATTGATTACAATTATTACCTCTCGTGGGGTTGGTGATGGTTATTATGTATCTCTTTCTAACAGACACAATTACGCATTCTTGCACTCACACACATTCACATGAGTGAACATGCAGATTTCTTAGTGCTTGAACTCTTTCATGCCTGACATAATTTGTAAAATACTGGTTATTTAACCTATCATGAATCATTATCCAATCATTGTGGTCAAACCTACCCATGGACTATTTTCTAAGCCTTTTCTCTTTTCTTTTCTTTTTTTCCCTCTTTCCTTCGCAGAATATTTTCAGTTTCTTTAAATAATTTCATTTAAATAGGTTATATTGCTACCCTTTTATATCATCTGAGCAAGGGAGACCTAAACTAATCTTATATCAACAGGTTAATCTTAGTCATTTTTTTAGTAGAAAGTAGGTCCTATTATTTTCCTTCTTGGGTAATAGAGATTTAGAGATTTTGCAGGGTAAAAGTGTTTTCTTGTGTGTGAAATATAACTTTTTGTGATTGACGTGATTTTAAAATGATGGTGGAATATTTGTCGCGCCAAAGTGATTGTAACTGTGAATATTGAAATATAACTTTTTGTGATTGGTTTCTTTTTCAATATTCGCCATCTGTATGCTTTTTTTCTTCTTTTCTGGCCATCTGTATGTTTTTTATTTTTCTTTCTAAGGTCAAATGACTTGTTTATAATTGATATTCTAACTTTTTTTATTTTTTATTTTATGTAAAATGCCAGTTAGATGGATAAGTCTTGGATTCATCATCACACCAGGGGTAGTCGAACCTATTTTGATGGCATAGAAAACTTCATTAAGGTCGCTAGTCGTCATTTACAGATAGGCGGTATTACCCGATGTCCATGTCGTCGTTGCAAAAACAAGGAATATCTTGAAATTAAACAAGTTAAGCAACATCTCTTGAGTAATGGGATGGACAAGGGGTATACCAATTGGATATATCACAAGGAGGTTCCTCAAGCCAACAATAATGTTAATATTGACGCTAATGTTAGTGGGGAAAGTGCCCATGATGAAGATGGAAATGTAGATAATGTATTTGAGTTGTTGGATAACGTACAAATGGGAAACTTCAATAATGCACAATAACAAAAAGATTCGCATGAAGTTGATGTAGGAGGAGGAAATTTTGCTAGATTGTTAAATGATGCACAGTGTGAATTGTGGCCAGGTTATCAAAAATTCTTGAAGTTGTCAGCGATATTAAAGTTATTCAATGTGAAGGTTATGACTCGAATGAGCAATAAATCATTTGACATGATGCTTATGGCATTTAAGGAGATGCTTCCTGACAACAATGTGTTACCAAAGTCTCACTACGAGACTAAAAGCTTGTTGCGAGATTTGGGTCCCGGATATGAGTGTATCCATGCATGTAAACATGATTGTGTTCTATTCTGGAAAGAGAATGTAGGTAAGGAAAACTGTCCACAATGTGGTGAGTCGAGGTATAAACCTCACAAAGGTAAGGGTAAGAAAATCCCTCAAAAAGTTCTTCGGTACTTCCCTTTGAAATCAAGACTTCAACGGTTGTTTATGTCGAAGGATACAGCCTTAGATATGCGGTGACATAAGGAGAAACGTGTGAAGGAGACAAATGAGTTAAGACATCCGGCTGGTTCAAAAGCTTAGGAGGATTTTGATAATAAGCATAGTTGGTTTGCTGCTGATCCTCGTAATGTTCATGTTGGTTTGCTGCTGATCCTCTAGGGGCGCAAAGTTTGGAGATATTGTCTCGTGAGGACATGGAAATGGCTCGATTGTACGTGTTACAAAATTCTGGAGTAGTTGAGTCATACGAAGAGTAAGTAACTTATTACATGTCATATCATGTCAGCCTATGTGAATATATAGTCTTTTTAATACATGTACACAATTTTATCTTAACACCATCTAATTATTTAGGAAACACAAGGTGGAACTTGAAAGACAAGATCTGCGAAATGTTCCTCAAAGACATGCAAAAGAATTTTCTAGATGGTTCGAAACACAAGTAAGTTCATCATGTATAAATTGGACTTAATTAATCAAATTCTTTTATTTAATGAAAATGATGTGCCATCATTTATTTAACACTACAATTTTTTCAATAGATCTTGAAAATGCGTCATCATCAAAAGGAAACAACTTGTGATGATTTGTATTCGCTAGCGTGTGGACCTGGATCTCTAGTAAGTCGATATTCTGCTTGTATTGTAGATGGGATTAGATTCCATACTAAGGAAAGGGAACAAAACCGACGAACGCAGAATTGTGGTGTGTTAGTGAAAGGAGAATGTGAAGATTACTATGGTAAACTAACAGATATCATTGAGTTACGATATCCACTGGGTAGACAAATCTTCCTTTTCAAATGTGATTGGTTTGATGTTAGGATTGGTATACATAAGGATACTTATTTTAAAAGTGTAAATGTAGCCAGTAGAGCTTACAAAAATGAGCCATTTATGTTAGCAAATCAAGCAAAACAATGCTTCTATATCAAAGACAACAAATTTCAAGGGACATGGGAAGTAGTTCAAGATATAACAAATAGAAGCTCATTTGATGTACCTGAAAAAGAGGGTGAAGCAGTAGTAGAGGATGAAATGCTTAACACTGCAGCGTACCAAGAGAATGAACCAAGCATTGTGGATAGGATTGTTGAAGTGGACTTGGACATGGATCCACTCTCTTTGAACAGGGATGATTTAGAGGGTGAAACCCTTAATGCTGAAGTGATTGAAAAATGTAGTGGTGAAGCAGCAATTAATGACGACTTTTGGGTTGACGAGGATGATGATAGAGATGACGTTCAGTATAGTTCAGATGAGGAACCAGAACTGTTGTCCGAAGATGAAACTGATTTGGATGACATATGAAGCTTTGTATTGTTACGCATGTGCTGTATTTTTTTGGAATTATGATTAATACATTATGTGAACTTTATCTAGAATTGAGTTCCTTTTCTTTTTCAATATATTTATCTTTTAGTTTGGTTGTGGGCTTCATTATTTTTCTGATTTATTTAAACTAATCTTAGATCACTTGATTTATTTTCTGTTTATGTTCTGAAGTAGCCAATATCAAATAATGACTCAGAATGTATTATGCATATGCTTGTTTATTTTGATTTAATATTACTTGATTCTTCATATCAGCTTGTAAACAGAATTATGGACACTTCTGAGGCACCAATGCGTGGAATATTAAGGTCCAGCGTGACTCAAACTCGAACTGAGACACCATCTACAAGTTCAGCTGCCACACAACCGAGTGGAAAAGCTGATGGTAGTAATTCAATAAGTCAACAGCCTATTATGGAAGGTGATGGTAATACTTCGCAGACGAGGCCACAACCAAATGGAGGTGATAATTATGCTTCATCATAAATTAACTACAACATTTTTGTAGAATGACTATGTTTTAATTAAGTAGATAATTTTTTTTTTTCAGGCCCAGTACGAAAAGGGCGTGGAAAAGCAAAGAATATAGCCCTACACAAAGCTCAGGACCTCTATGGAAAGGATGTTCCAATTCCGGTAGAGTTTGGGACGGGTTATATTAAACCCGTTGGCAAAAATCACAATTTATGGACGGCTGAGGTTAGCATCCATGCGAGAAATAAAGAAGCATTATTGAAATATAAAACGTGGAGGGAAATTCCAGATTATGAGAGACAGGTCTGCTATGACCATTTTAAGGTAATAAGTTCTTTTATATTCTATATCTTCTTTTTTTTTTTTCTTGAATGGGTATTTGTTTTTTATAAATATTCAAAAGAGGAACAATTACAAGAGGAGAAAATCTCCATTACATGTCACAAAGTGGAATTAATGGGTATTTGATTTTAGGAGTTTTTTTTTTTTTTTTTTTTTCTTCTTTTAAACATAAATCTGGAATTGGAATTTCCTAAATTGCATATTCACCCTCTGTTTAATTGAAGAGAAAATCTAATTTGGAATGAACGCCCATTTTGCTACTTCTAAAGTTGCAATCAGTAACATTAATCATTATTTTTCTTTCTACTATTTGTTCAATAACACAAGTGTGTAACAACCCTTTACGGTATTTTAGTCAAGCTGAAGTTTGGTACCACAAGGATACAAAAACACTTGATGCATTTAAACAAGATTCTCAAATAATAATACAGTAATAAAAGAAAGAAAATGGTGGTGGGCTGAGACACGGAATTGGAAGCAGATAGGATAAAACTGCTTCTAAATTGGACCAGTCACTATTTTTCTTTCTACTATTTGTTCAATAACACAAGTGTGTAACAACCCTTTGGGGTATTTTAGTCAAGCTGAAGTTTGGTACCACAAGCATACAAAAACACATGATGCATTTAAACAAGATTCTCAAACAATAATACAGTAATAAAAGAAAGAAAATGGTGGTGGGCTGAGACACGGAATTGGAAGCAGATAGGATAAAACTGCTTCTAAACTGGACCAGTCACTATTTTTCTTTTTACTATTTGTTCATAACATAAGTGTGTAACAACCCACCCTTGAGGACTTAAGCTCTCTCTCTATATATCAACATATGCATACATACTAGCCTATAGGACTTAATTTCCCTTCTCTCTCTCTTTCTCTCTCTCTCTATCTATATTCTAGCTCTTCCATCTCTCAATGGCAGAGTTCCTGAACCAATCTTTTAGCAAATTTACCCTCAATTCAATCAAAATAAAATCATAAGGGTTCTTTACTGTTACACAATATAAAATAAAGATATCAATCACATATATGAGGGGTTCAGGGAAGAACTCTAGTTTAAGAAAGTGAGATACCACTCTCTTAAAATACTTGTTTTGTTGACTTGTTAGTTATTTTTCATATTTTCAATGCTATTTGTTTTGTGAATTATTGTGTTCTTTTTAACTTAAATTAAATGTCCATTATAAAGGTGACCTTTGGAGTGGATGCACATGACAATGAAACTGATTTCAAGCGAGTAACTAAGGAAATGTCCGAACGCTTGAGGAAATATAGATATAAATTGAAGAATCATTTTGACAAGCATCTTCCAATTGAGAATGCACGCTTGCATCCTTATGGTATTATTGATATTGATGTTTGGGGAAAAATGTGCGATTGGTGGACGTCACCAGAATTTCAAGTTCGGATTTTTAACCACTTGCTTTAAATTACTTGAAATCATTGATTATGATGCATTGATTGACTAGCTATTTAGGTTTCTTAACTTGTATTATTGTTTGAATTGCTATGTAGAAAATAAGTGACAGAAATAAAGGCAACCGTTCGAAGAATAAGATTCCTCATGTTTCTGGATCGATGTCTTTCGCCAGACGCTATAATGTTTATGTACGTAATATTTATTATAATTATTATAAAATTTCAATTTATTATCCATCTAAATCATATTTTGTGTTGCAGCTGAAAGAAAGTCAAGAAAGGCAAGAAAGGCAAAACGAAGAAGATGAGGAAGTTGAAAGTCTTTAGGAAGGTCCCACTATTCGCATGTACAAGGACACGCATTTTAGGGAAGAAACTAGATGGGTAAGCGAGATAGCTAAACAGAACTACGTAAGTTTTTTCCTCCATTTTACTTTCTTTTTATTTTTCTTAATGTGTTATTATTGCCATCTTGTTTGATAATAAGATTGTGTGTGTGTGTATATGTAGTCAATTAGTTACAGTATATATACTTATATGCAGAAAGGTTATATCTAAATTAAAAACTTTACAAATTAAAAGAATCCGTGTGTAAAGTGGTTTCAGTACAATGTATATGAATTGGGGCGTTAAGAATGGTAATTAATCAGATGGGAATTAGGTCTTTTGCTTTGATTAGGGTTCCTGTGAGACGACGTCATCTGCGAATTAGGCTTTGAAAACAGAAAAGAGAAATGAGAACAGGAGAAATCGTGAGTGTCCTGTGATATTACTTTGCAAAATATCTGTACAAGACCCAATTATAACTGCTAGCTTTCCTGCACAAAGAAATAAAAATAAAAATAAAAATAAATTAAAAAAATCCCTGACCTTATATGCGTTGCAAGTGCTAAAATGCATACTGACTATCGAACTCTCTAGTTTTAATTTTCTATTACTTCTTGTTGGCATAGTTCCGACCTTCATAAGAATCTATGCAAGTGTAAGACGCCTGAAAAAAGTGGATTAAAGAAGAGATTCCCGTAGAGTATGATACTGAGGATAATTTCTCCCCAGTTGCATTATTCATTATATAATCAATATAACAATTGTGTTTCTATATTTCCTTAAGCATATTGCAAGTTAAGTTGAGAGGGGAAGCTATTAAGGTAGTATCTGTGTTTATTAATCATGTTAGTAGTGCAGTCCCTACAGAGACTTTGTGTTGAGGGAAGTTTTAAAGTTGTGTGGGGTTACAATAATGTAATTGTTGAAGGTGATTGACAACCAGCTTTGTGGTCGCGACCCTCTGTTTCTGGGATGCATGTTCTTATTGAAGATGTATCTTCCTTGCTAGCTAAATGTTCTGGTTGTGTGCTGAAATGGATGCCTAGGTGTAGTGATGCTGCTGCTCACTGTGCAAGTAAAATTGCTCTAGTAGGAGTGAAGTAGCAGCTAGAAGGGGTGATGGAGATTGAGATTTGTGGTCTGATGCTTGGTTACAGGTGTTGGCTTTTGATTGTATATGTTCTTAGTTTATTTTAATCCTTTGTTGTTTTTCAGTCAGTGGGAAAAAAATAAATAATAATTATTTGTAGTATTGTATTAATATAATTAACGTGAGAATACATAATTTAGTGATTTCGCTTTAGGCCCCAAACTGCATCAAGCCGCCATTGCAATAATGGATCTAGATTCAGTTGGTGACAAACATTTAAAGTGATTTTTAACAAGCTTTTTGACACAACCACAATTGGATTATCATGTTTTGATATTGAACAAAATAATTCAATGTGTGGTTAAATTTAGTGTATTCAAGATGATTAACTTTTTACTGATGTTATCTTTTGTGGAATGTTTTTTTTGGTAAATCTGTAAATATGTGTGTGTGTGTGTGTGTAGAATAGATGCGTATATATATTGCATTGGACGATGGCTAGGAATGGATCTACAAGATCTGCATGCTTGAGACTTGGAGAGAGGTTGTATAGTGGTTAGTAAGCCAAGTTAGAAAAAGTTTGAAGGGCTGCCCCATTTTCTTGTGACGTGGTTTGTAGCGCAAGAGGGGAGGAAGCTCCTATTTGGGTGTTAAAGCATTCCATCTTGAGTTATCCATTTTTTGGGGTTAAAGGGGATGGCATTGTAATTCCATTGTGGATAGTTTGAGAGTTTAGTGGGCTTGTGGTAGGGGTCTCGTGTAGTAGTTCTCTTGGATACACTCCCCCCTTTCTGGATGGTTTAAGAAAGTTTAGTGGACGGTTGGTTTGGGATGCATTTTGAGGATTGGGAGGTGGAGGAGAGCCTTGTTCAGCTTTTAGCTATGTTGTATTGTCGTCAGATTGACGAATGAGTGGGGTTGGGTACCTTCTTCTCATGGGAGATTCATGGTCCCTTTTTATATAGGAGGTTATTGGATGTGCAGGAGAGTCCATTCCCTTGGAGTGCTATTTTGTGTATAAAAGTCCAGTTGATGCTGGCTTTTTCGGATGAATTTGACGATCAACAATTCGAGGAGAATGTCAGATCATTGTCGATAGATGTTGTATGTGCAAGAGAGATGAGGAGTTTCAGTGGTTAGGGAAGGATGGGATATGCTTCTTGCCTTGTTTGGTGTTCGCTTGTTCATGCCATTATTTTCGATGGGCATGGATGAAAGCTTGGAGAGGGTATATAGTGAGCAAGCCCACTTGAGACCTTTGGAGGGTTGCTCCTTTCTAGATGGCGGGAGAGGAATAGGAGATCCTTGGACGAGGAAGAAACTCCTATTTGGGCTTTTAAATTCCTCGTATTCTTATGATATAAGGAGTAAATTTTTTTGGGTTGGTGACAGTTATTGTGAAGCTGTGGAGGATATCTCATTGTTTGGATAATTTGAGTCCTTGTGGCTGTGCGTAATTGTACAATGGTAAGTATCTTTGTACTATATTTATAGTTACAACTGATATAAGTTTATTATTAGTTATAAATAAAAATAAAAATAAAAATGGTACTTATATTTGAATCTATATATATATATCTAAATTCTAGTACACGTAGAATCTTTTAATTTTATTGTTGGAAGATGTTAATAATGAGAAAACAGATCTAAGACTGGGATTCTTGGTACTGCCTCAATCACCGACCAACCGCCGCCCTCTATTTTACTTACTTTACTCATATTCCTCCACTTCCCTTTTGAACCTGAAAATTTCATTCATATTAGAAGTAAAAATAAAAATTGTATAATGTAATAACAGCTTTTATGCTATGTTTGGTTGGTTGGAGGGAATGATTGAGAAGGGATAGACGAAACTTTTTGTGTTTGGTTGGAGAGAAGGGAAGAGATGAATGAACAGGAGGGATGCCTCATCCCTCTTTCTTCTTGTTTTTCTATCCCTCCAAAATTGGAGGGGAGAGAAAATAAATAACTATTTGTACATATATAATTTTTAATTTTAACCTTTTTAAAAAAAAATTAAAATGGATAACTTATTATTTTATACAGCGAGGATATATTGGTAAAAAAATATACGGGAGTATAAAAAATAAAAAATTCTCCTCTCTATTCCATAAACCTTGAACCAAGAATCATTACCGACATTGAAGCAATAAAGATTAGTGACATATTCATCCATTGGGTTGGTGTTTTTTTTTTTTTTTTTTTTTTTTTTTTTTTTTTTTTTTTTTTTTTTGGGTAAGATATTTTTATAGCAGATGAAAAAACTTGTACAAGTCTCTAAGGTGCCATACCTACCATAAAATAGAAGGTACGCGATCTTCTGCCCTGAAGGTCGTCTATACCAGGATGGCAGGATGAGTATGGAGTTGTCTGAAGATGGGGTTGTCGATCCTTTCCAAATTCCTTCAGGCCTCAACCTCAACTGAGAAGATATATAAAATTGATGACCATGTATCATTTGCTGTGGCTGGAATAATGTCTGATGCCAACTTGTCAGGGTGAATTTTGGGTGATGATGGAATATGGTGTGACGTGGTCTTGGACTAAAGTTTTTTGATTGAAATTTCACATTTTAAATTAGTTTCCATGACGAATGATGAATTATTGTTAGTGACTGACTCCATGAAATTCGTTTTATACAACAAAAGAGAGGAGACCGGTAGGGATCTAATACTTGGAGGAATTCCAGATGCTAGTGTGTGTAAAGTAGGAGGCTATGTGGAGAGCCTCATGTCACCCATCAGGGGAGATTGAATTAGTGGTCATTCTTATAATTTAGAAAAGATAGAATGGTTTTGAATAACCAACCAAGCTGTGTTTTCCATTTTTTTTTTTTTTTTTTTTAATTTGCTTTCTCTCTTTTGTTATATAAGATAATTTTATAACACATCAAAAAACATGTACAATGCAAGCCTCTAAGGAGGCAAACCTACCTTAACATATAAGTTTTGGAACAGGTTTTTGCTTTTGGTTGGGCCAAGCAAGACTAGGTTTGTCATTTTACTATCTTGTCCTTATCTTTTATATACCATATAGTAACATAGATTAGGATGAAAATCGTTAAAATGTGTTCTTAAGGAAAGAAATCGAAAAATTCTTTTACCTAAATTGTCGATTACATAGTCCCTCGTTCCCATTAGAACTCTATTTATATATAAATTAACAAAAATACAGATAGTAATCAAACCACAAAGAAAATTAACAAAAATACAGATAGTAACCACAAATAATAGGACATGGTTGCTTTAAAAACTTTGGCACAACAATGTAACCACTCCACAAACTAGGATAGTTCTGGGATAATGCAGTTTGGAACGTGTAATAATTTTTTATATGTTAATTTTATACAAATAAATGCAATATGAAATATTATCATATATCGAAAATTATTACGTGTTTTGTTTTTTTCATTCTAAGTGTATTATATGCGTTGTGTCAAAGATTAATGTAATTTGATATAAAGTATTACGTTGTTTTTACAACACACTGGACCCTATCTGTGTAGGAGAGAATTTCATGTCACCACTCACCCCTACCTTAAGAGCTTATTGTGAATTTAAATCTATATTGACTTTAATATTACTTTTCTTACATATTCTATCATTATCATTTCATTTCTTTTTAATTTTAAATTTTTAAAGAAATTGAAAAATTAACAATTTTATTTCCCTTCTTTACGTTTATACTCACATCTAATATTGCCATACTTTACCAATAAGATTTATAATATTGCAATTAAATTTATCATTACTATGTATATAATAGCCGATCATTTAAAAATAAATATGTAGTAAGAGTAATATGAATTGCAATTATATCTTTTTCAAATTAAAGAACTGCAATTAGTAGGTGTACGTTAGTGGGTGTTACTCAAGCAGGTAGAGAGCACTTAATTAAGTTAGGACAAATTTAAATTCCTAGTCCAGCTGTAACCGACAAATTATAATTGTGTAATTTTGGCACTATTTTAGATTACAAATCGTGCAAAAAAATATTTATATTTACAATTCTACATAATATACTCCTCTGTTCTGTATTAATAGCCCATTTTTTATTTTTAAATTATTTCAAAATATTTATTCCTTTAAAAAAATAAAATAAAATAAAATAAATGCAATACTTTTATCATTATCTTTAGGGTTAAATGCTCCGACGCCTCTCACATTTACCTTTATTGATCATGGATCAGTGAAAAAAAAAAAAAAAAAAATCTAAACCTCTTTCAGGTTTGGTTAACTTTTCCGTTAGTTAATTGTTAGGAAAGTGAAAAGACAACTAATTAAAAAAATATAATGACAAAACTATCCCCAATTTAAATGACAAAAATATCTCTCATAGACTAATATGGAGTACCTATTCTCTTATTTGTGAAATTGAAGACAATAATGCTAAACAACATACCAGTATAGCACATTTATTTTGTGTTTTTTCCTACTGTCAGTATTGAAATGAAAATAGAATACTGCAAATGAGGAAAATAAGCAGGAAATATCAGTAGAGTAAAGAAATGCAAAAAAATCAGAAAAGTGAAGAAAAGGTGACCATAGAACTGAGAACCTTTCTTTAGTTTAGAATGAAAAAAGTTGTCCAGTTATTGATTGCAATATTACTTTTTTATTGACTTATTGATGCTTAAAACTACATTAATCTTAATTTCAAGAAGCAATGAAAGAGAAGTTTTCAGAAGTTTCTCACAATTCTGATGGTACCAGACTTATCGTAAATGATGTTGAGATAGTGGAAAACCAATTAGGTATCAGAAAGGGATATCGTCGTGGGTTCGAAAATGGTTTTGTAGCTCCAAGCCTGCGTTCATCCTCATCTTTTGAAGAGGCTTCTAGAAAAAGGGTGAAAAATGTTGAACAAAAAAATGCAGAACTTACGGAGAAAGTTACAAGTTTAGAGGAGAAGTTAGATACAATTCAGAAGCTACTTGAGCAGCAACAACACCTCCTTGAGCAGCAACAACAGCAGCAACAACAACTCCTTGAGCAGCAACAACAGCACCAACAGCCGCCACCACCATGGTTCCACCAATATCAACATTCTCCATCACATTCCCAACAGCAGCATACCCCGCCAAGCTGGTATCAGCAACCACCAACAAGCACCTGAATGAACTATAAAGACAATTATTTTGGTAGATATATTTTGGAACTTTTTGATGGCTAGCTAGCTGATTTCTAACTATTTTGGTATGTGTATTTTTTGGCATGCATTTTCATGATTTCATTCAGTTTAAAATGATGTTTTAATTTTTGAGGATGTTTGGAACCATTTGATGTTAAAGCAGCTAGTACATACTTTTAGTTGTTTACAAAATTGGAGAATTTGTAGTTTCATAATGAGATTAAGAGATGGTTTGTTGGCACTTTATTATTGTGATAATCAATTTTTTTCTTTTTAGAATGATGTTGTGGATGTATGTATTTTTTAGTTCCGGATGTTTTCGTTTAATAACTTTTTCTAGAACACAAATTCAGCCGAGCAAAAACCAAAAATAATAATAATAATAATACAAATTTAATAATAATAATAATAAAATCATATTTGGGACAGTAAATCATATTAGGGACAGTACAAGCTGTGTCTAATAAGTATTGTAATTAGGGGCAGACAACAAACTGTCTCTAAAATATCGATTGTTAGGGACAGTAAATGTCGTCCCCAATAATGAATCAATAGGACTATTAGGGACAGTAAATACCGTCCCCAATAATAAATCAAAGGGGACGGTATTATTTGGGACAGTAAATCCGTCCCTAATAAATCGGCCTATTTGTGACAGTATCTCCGTCCCTAATAAATCAAACGGGGACGGTCTTATTTGCGACAGTAAGTCCGTCCCTAAAGGTTGAACTTTTTAGGGACGGGCAACTTTTACCGTCCCTAAAAATCTTTTGGGACACAACTATTAGGGACGGTCGATTTCGATTATTAGGGACGGTCTTAGGACTTTTAGGGACAGATTCGACCGTCACTAAAAACCTAATTTCTTGTAGTGTTAGGGCATAATCCTTACTTGATCAGCGCCAGTTGAGCCTCCCGCAACTCCTTTTCTAAGTCATCCTTAGACCTTGGAGTTTCCTTAACCATCGGCTTCTTTCCTTCAGCCTTGCTTTCTCTGTTAGCTGAAGTATCCTCAAAATCAATTCTTCTCCGTGGCCTGCTGGCCATTGAGATTTCGACCACGTTACTGCTGACCAAGGCTGGGAATGGATCACTGTCAACGCTCATCACCTCTTCTTCTTCTCCGGGAACTTCCATGCCCCCTTCTCGATCTGTACCTGAATCACATTACGAAAGACAACACAATTATTAGTTGCATGATTCCAGGAGTTATGATATTTGCAATACTCTCGACCCTTGATTTCATCAGCTGAAGGTATTTTATGTACCCCAGTGACTTTGATAATTTTATCAGACAACAGGTGGTCAAAGATTTGCTCTGCTTTACTTATATCGAAAGCATATTGTTTGCCAGCCTCAAAGATATTCCTTTTGGCTGAAGATGATGAGGGTTGAACACCGCTAACAGTCTCTAAGGGCTTAGCTAAAGCTTTACATACATATGGTTTTTTTGAAATAATTTCAACAGCATCGACCTCTAGGTCATCATATACTGTATCAACCATGTGTATTTCATAATTAGGGTCCTTATAATAGGTCCCCTGAGAGGAGTTTTTCCTCTCGTTTTCCTCTCGTAAGATTTTTTCATACTTGGTAACCCTATCGGCTAATTGGAACAAATCTCCACAATGAGTACCCTCGAACTTCTTTCGTAATTCAAAGTCTAAACCGCGAAGGGCCAAGTTAACAAACTCTTCTTCAGGCAAAGTAAGTTGGCACCTATTTCGTGCCTTCTTAAACCTAGCCAAAAATGTCTCAACATCCTCATTTGACAACTGATGGATCCTAGATAGGTCGGACATAGAGACTTCTGGTTCTGTCCTATAGAACTGATCATGGAACACATTCTGCATCTGTTGCCAAGTGTGGATGGAATTTGGTGGCAAGTTTAGATACCACTTGAAGGCAGTCTCAGTGAGGGTGTTAGAGAATAACTTCATTTTATACCAATCGTTGTTGCTGAGTGGACCACATTTTAATGTGAAACGGCCAATGTGCTCAAGAGTCAATTGGTTGCCTTCTCCTGAGAAAGTTGCAAAGTTTGGCACCCGAAAATTTTGGAGAAGGTCCATCCGATCTATCCAGTCAGGAAATGGGTGCCTAAAAGTAGATCGAGTAGCCCTTTTTAAAGCTGGTCCTTACTGTTCTTGTATGACCTCAGCTAATTGCTCCCTAGTCATGACCATAGGTGGGACTTGGTTCTGAAAAGGGACATTGGGCCAAGGGTTATGTCCCTCTTGCCCCCCTGGGTTCGCAGCCTGAGGTGGCAAGACTTGAGGTTGAAAATGAGGAGGTCGACCATTAGGTTGGTCATGATTCCTCCATCTTGGTCGTTGGTGACCATTCACTCCTTGCTCTACTGGATAGACTTGTGGTGGAATTGGAGCTATTGGTCGAGGACCATTAACCATGGGATGTGGTTGGGCACCTCTTTCTGGTTGACCAACTTGTTGAGGAGGAAACTGGTCCACGAGTCTATCATTCTGGTTTTCTAACCTAGGCGGCTGAGCAATAACCTGCCTATCAATACGAGTCACTAAGGCATTAATCACCTCATTCAACTGTTGGAGCTGAGTATTAGTCATGTGGGATGAAGCCACCAATGGCTCCATATTTTTGTTGATTTCCCAAGCGACTTGGCGTTGGGAAGCCTCCACTCTACTTTCAAATCGTGCCACCATATTGCTGACACTTTCGGCCGCCATTTGGTGGCTGGCCTGATGTCCCTCTTCATGCTCAGACCCAGAATCTTGCATGATGGGAGCAGGCTGATTTTCTTCCTGATCTTCCCTTTGAGGGTTAGCTTGTCCAGCTGAAGTTTGAGTCTGTGACCTAGTCTCGACGACCATTCACAAATAAAACACAAGTCCCACCGGGCGTGCCAAAGTTGTTTGGCTCACAAAGTGGTCTGAGGTCGCTAGCCAATGAACAGCTGACCTAGAACGCGGGCGTGCCAGAGTCCTGATGGACTCGAATATTTCTTGCCAAACTATTCCTATCGGGTCGGGTCACCGACCTAAGGTGATTCAGGCGAAAGTTGGAGAGTAGGAATGACCCTCTCCTTAAGGTTGCTATTGCCTTTAAGAAAGGACTTTAAATACTCAAGATAAACATGAATTAGAAGCAACTTAACTGGACAATAAATATACCTGAATCTGCAAACCTTTCTTTATTGAACTTGACTGATATAATGATGAATGAATTACAAACTCTTGATTGAGATGGAAACTAAAGTATTAAATGCTGGAAGATGAACTAAGTACTAAACTGATAATGTTAAGCTAAACTTGCTGAAATAAAAGCTAAGTGCTAAACTGAGCTTGATGAAATAAAAGCTAAGTGCTAAATGATAGGAAAGCTAAAGGTTGAACTTTAGAAATAGTCTTGGACCCCTTCCTTGTGATGCTTGAGTGGGTATTTATAGAGGCTTCCACCTGGTGTTGTCCCTTTCAACCGTTTCTCTAGAAATTAATTGGTTGTAAGCTGAAAGTGACTTTTCCTAACCACCAGCTGGAAAGGTTAACTAACTTGCACATCCCTCTATAAGCAGATACAAGTATGTCTGACATAGTATTTTTGACTAAATGGTGTCTATTGTTTCATGCTTGATGATTTTGGTCTTCAAGCCATTTTCAGCTCTCTGCACCTGTCATGTTTGGCTTGATTTGTACATTAGCCTGGAGTCATCTGATTACTGACAATCCTGACTTTCCTCATCAGATGTTGGTGAGAACCTTCCATCTGTAGTTCTGAACTTCTGACATTGTCAAGTTGTCCTTTTCTATTTCAAGCTTTCTTCAAACTTCTAGACCTGACTTGTTGGGTTCTTGAAACATTGGGATTCACAATCGGTCTTTATTTGAATTACCCCAAAGATTCCTCAAGTGATTATGACCCGAGACCCCTGATCATGACCATATTTGGTCATAAGTCTTGATCATGGACATAGTGACTAGAAATCTTGGTTAAGATTCATAATCATGACCATTATGACTGAGGGTCTCCTGACCATGACCGTTGTGATTGAGAAAGTTGTGACTGAGAGTATTTTGGCCTAAAACTTATGATCATGACCATTGAGACTGGGAGTTATAACCATATTGATCGAGAAGGGTTTTGGCCTAAAACTCATGACCATGACCATAGTGACTGAGAAAGTTTTGGCCTAAGACTCATGATCATGATGACTGAGACTCTCATGACCAGGATGACTGAGAAGGTTTTGGCCTAAGACTCATGATCATGATGACTGAGACTCTCATGACCAGGATGACTGAGAAGGTTTTGGCCTAAGACTCATGATCATGACCATTGAGACTAAGAGTCATAGCCATAGTGACTGAGAAGATTTTGGCCTAAAACTCATGATCATGATGACTGAGACTCTCATGACCAGGATGACTGAGAAGGTTTTGGCCTAAGACTCAATGATCATAACCATTGAGACTGGGAGTCATAACCATAGTGACTGAGACTCTCAATCATGGCCGGTTATGAGCTCAAAACCTCATATCAGTCTTAATGGCCTAAAAATTCCACTCTTCTTCATTCTCAGCCTTAAATCGGATCGCCATGACTAGAAATTAATCTCTTGCCCTGATGACCATGGGTCGACCCAAAGTTCAGACTTCATGATTTCTGACCATGTGGCATGATTGCTTCGAATTATATTTTAGGTGTTAACATTATCTTCAATTGTTACTCGCACGTAAATATTCATTCTGTACATTCTTATATGCTTTTTATGTTGATGTTGTAATTAGGGTTTTGAAAATTTGAGATAGTATATAGGATCATATAAAATTTATTTACATATGTATTAAAATTAACTTCATCAGTCAGTCTCAAGCTGATAATTGTATAATAGTAATTTTTTTAATTGCATTAGTAATTGGATGAAGGAATACAGTATCCTCCAATAAAACATTGCACAGAATATGTAAAATCAAAAGTAAAATAGTAAAGTATGTGAATGCTTGTCATATCTCAAGGTTTCTGAAAGTAATTTAATTATGGCAAGATGCCAAGGCAATTTTTTTCTTTACAACTTAAACAATGTTTTTTCTTTACAACTGCTTTGACACCCAACTCTGTTACGAGGGGAGTGTCATGCACTAGATTGACCCCCTTTTTTTTAAATTTTTTTTTTTTTTCAGTTTAGCCCCCACAAACTGTAATTCCTGGCTCCACCCCTAGATAGTAACACACACACACATATTTAGTTAGAAGGAAGGAAAATAATGTTTTTATAAACTTTTTAACAATATATATATATATTATATAAAATTATAAAAATTTGACATTCATTTTAAAATTTTCAGAAAGTTAAAATTTTTGGAATATATGATTGAAACTTACCTGCAACGTGTCTATATATATCACGCTAGACAACAATGTGAATATCAAATGTTCAAGGTCACTTACACGCAGTGACATGAATAATAATAAACTACACAATTAACGTATCCTTTAATAAGAAACCCGATTGTCCTTTAATGGATTATTCTTTGGTGAATATATGGTCTCTGCCATAACCAGGATAGAAGAAAAAGATGATGAAACATAAGTGGATGAAGTTAGGGAATCCAAATAGGTAGTTGTAAGCTAAACCAACGCAACCCTTTGAACCATTGCATCAGGTGGTCGTGTCTTGTGACGAACAGACACTATATTTCATATGTTTCCAGAAAAAAGAGGATTGTTAATTATTGAAAAGATGCATTGGTGATGTAAGGGTAATGAGTGTCCCATTCCCAAAAGACACTAAGTCTTTTATAAATATCCCATTGGGCTGCCATAATTCGTTCATTCAATTATTTGATTTCTTCTCTCACTCTCTAGACTTGAACCCAACCCAAGTAAGTTCAAATCATAAATCAAGTGATATGAGCCATTTAGACTCAAATTCAATTTCATCGACCCATATTAAAATTGTTCCGAGCCATTTGGTTCGGATTGAACCCAATTAATATTTTTTTATAGTATAGATGCAACTTGAGTCGGAGAGAGTACTGCACAGAGGAGATTCATATTCACGAGTTTGAAATGCTGTTACTGGTGGATGTAAACCGTTGTACCCTGAGAGATAAGCGCCATAGAATCCGTCAGCACCATATGAGGTGTAAATTGTCTTAAGGACATAGTATTTAATACTAGTCTCAGTCTAAATTTTTATTTATTATTATTTATTATTATTATTATTATTATTATTATTATTATTATTATTTATATTATATTATATTATTTTGCACGTTTAATTAAATATCGAATTGCATATTTAATTAATTTTTTGTTAGCATATTATTAATATTCAATACTAACCTCGGTCCATCCTATTTGTTCTTTAATTTTTAATTACAAATTTATTAAACTTTTATTATTATTTCTAAAACTCACAAGTGGCTTGAGTGGATTTAGAAAGTCCATATCCTATTTTGTTGCATGTATAATTTTAATTACAAATTTATTAAAACTTTTATTATTATTATTTTTTAAAATATGCCAGTGAGAAGTTAATTAAAACGATAAAATATCACAAACTTATCACCTGACTTAATTGTAATGGTTTAGTTTATTCACACCATCTCACTAATTATGATCGATCATTACCACAATTATAGCTTTTGACTCACATGAACTGAACACATTTTATAGAAAGTGGTCTGGTATTTTATTTTGTCCTTTAACTTGAATTAAAATATTATTATTATTTTAAAAAAAAAATTGTTAGTCATGAAGAGTTGAACGCATCTAATTATTAAAAATGATTTGAGTTGTATTTTGTCGTTTAACTCTAATTACAAATTTATTAAATTTTTGTTATTATTTTAAAAAATGTGTTAGTCACATTTAATTAATGAAAGCGGTTTGAGCTGCATTATATTGTTTAACTTTAATTGCAAATTTATTAAAAGATTATTATTATTATTAATAAAATATGTTAGTAATGGGGAATTGAACTCATCTAATTAATGCAAGTGATTTGTGTTGTATTTTGTCTTTTAACTTTAACAACAAATTTATTAAAAGAAAATTATTATAATTATTTTAAAATATGCTAGTAATAAGTAAATAATTAAAACGACAAACTAATGCAACTATTGAGATTTCACATTAGCTGTTTGACATAAACTTTACATGAATACATTTAATAAAAATAGTTTTTTTTAACGATTTAGCCTACACTCGAATTAGATGCAACCTCGTGTAAAAGTGGTTTGTTTCGAATTATCATTATTATGTTGGAAAATATGTTAGTGACTTGGCACGTGCACTGAGTCATGCATGGGGGAAGAGGCACGCTATGAGAGGGGTTTGGTGCTGACGCTGGAGCCCGTTAGGAGTTACAACTGCCCACGCAGCCAGCATTTTCTTCGTGGACAAACACTAGCATGAATTTTGTGGTTCATCATCATCTTCAACGATTCCTCAACTTATGACGTGGCGTTCTTGTCTATGATCATTAGTGTATAATTTGTAAACCATCAATTCTTAACATATATATTATTACCTTTATTAATATTTTATTGCTTGTAGACTGATTATAAAGAGTATTTTCTACTTCTTCCATTCTTTTTTAATTATCCGCTTTATAAATTGTAATTTTTACGATTATTTTCTATTGTACTTTGTTTTCAGTAATAGGAAACAAACACCGACAGCTAATATAAATGTTAGTGGAGTGTGAAATTTGACTAAGAGCCGAGTTTCACATAACCTATAGGGAGTTTCACATATTAGGGCATTAGCAGTTTTTAGTTACTAACATAAATGATTTAAGCACTTGAACAAATCCTATTAATTTATGTGAAAGGATGCTAGTCCCTGTTCACATAAAATAGTTAAATTTGTCTTCACGAATTTAATTAATTTATATAAAATACATTAAAGAGTGCTAATCTTTTTTCACATAAAATGAGTTGAATTTGTCTGACTAAATTATTTGAACAAATTCTAATACTAGTGTCATCATAATATCATTAATATTCCTAACGATTGGTCCTTGCTTTACAAAATCGATCGAATTAATCCTTGTTTATATAAAATCAGTGAAATATATCCTTATTTCATTAATATTCCTAACATTAATTCTTACTCACATAAAATTAGTCTTTACTCACATAAAATCAATCGCATAAAATCAATTGAATTTATCCTTATTCACATAAGATTAGATCCTTACTCAAATAAAATCAATTGAATATTTCTCACTGAAGTCTCTATCGTTACTCTATATATAATCATGTATTAGCTTAATTAATTCTAATTATTAAAATTTTATTATTTGATTTGATTATTTACGGGCACTTAAACAACCAAATGTTCAGGGAAAATCCAGCCACAAGTTTGCGATTTCAGTGTATTAAATTTGCTACTTTTAATATATATATATATAAATGTATCAACTTAATTCGGATTTGTCTAATTATATCACTTGCACAAATTTTTTTGTATTTTCCCTGGCAATTAAGAACCAACACACTTTTTAACAAAAGTTCCACCAACTAGGTTCCTAAATTTAGGTTCCTGAATTATGGCTGCTTGTGTTAAGGAAAATGGAGCCACATATTTTTGAGTTTAATTAGACACTAATTCATTCCACAAAGGTGTGTTAAGAAAATGAAGCTACATATATAATTTTGAGTTTGATTAGACACTAATTCATTCCACAAAACCATATCAGTTTCTACATGGTTGTTACATCACATTCCTCAAAAAGGCAAATAAAACGTAAACACCAAAAAACGAAACTTAAATATTATTCACTTTGGAACATAACAAAAGATGGCGCCAATTCAATTCTTCTTCCCACCGCGTTCCCTTGCTGCACGCCCCCTCATTTCCACATCATCTTCATCCATGGTCTTCTTCACATGATCTTCCATATAATCATCAACATCCTCAGACTTACCAACCACCGTCTCTTTGATCTTCTGTGTAGTCTCCTTTGCCACCCCCCACGCCCCCTGCACCGTCTGCTTCGCTTTCTCCCCTATAATCTGTGCCGTCTCCGCCGCCTTACTCGTCCCTTCTTTTGCTGTCTCGGCCGCTCTGTAGGTGCCTTCTTTGGCCTTATCGGCCGCCGTCCCGGCTGTGCCCTTTGTCTTCTCCTTCATGTCCTGTGCTCGCTCTTTGGCTTTCTCCTTTGTGTCGTGTGCCATTTCAGCTGTTCTGCTCGCTTTTTCTTTCGCTTTCTCCTTGGTTTCGTTCGCTTGTTCTTGCGTTTTCTCAGTGCTTTTTTTCAGATTTTCTTTGGCTTTCTCGGTCGTCTCAGAAACTCTGTCCTCAACATCTTTAGCACTATTCCCCGCGTAATAACGTCGTTCCTCACCTCTTTGTGCTGCATTTGGTTCCTGAAATATGAATATCATTTAATTTGCATTTGAGAGCACTAAACCGGCGTTTTGAAATTGAAATCATACTAAATTCAGTGTAACTAAATTTACTTCAATTTCAATACCAAAAATACCAAAAATGCCGATTCAGTACTCCAAACATGGTCTAAACTATTTTCGGTAGTATGAAATTTGTAAAAATTATAACATTAATTAACCTCTTTTTTTTTCTTTTTTTTTTTTTCTTTTTTTTTTTTAACAATTTCAATTTCAAGCACCAATTCTATGTTACCCAACATTACATAAGAAATTTGATTAAAATAAAAATAATCACATAAGAAATAAATGTACATAAATTGTCACATACATATGTCATTCCTATACCCAAACATGCACATATATGTGACATATTCATGCATATATGTACAAACACATAAGTGTTTTAGGGAAGCAGAAGGCTGTATTTTACCTCAGAGGATTTGGAGGCGTAAGTGAAGCAAACCCGAGAGGCTTTGCGATGGAGGGGCAGAGAAGAGGATTGAGGGAAAGCTTTTGAGACGTTGAAAATGGCGTTTTTAGAAAAAACTGAGGCCATTGTTACTCTGCTGCTTTTTTTCTTCTTCTTCCTTTGCTCTGTTTCTTGGGGTCTCTGGGATTTCTAACACCAACGGTTGATGATTTAAGATGTACGAGGTGAAGAATATGGCACGCTGGTAGCGTGACACGTAGGGTTACTTTCAACACGTGTAAGGATTAATGTTTAGCTGGCTCGCGGGTTGCATTTGGGACTCAACACATGTTCTTTCTAGTTTTCAAAAAGGATAAACGTAACCTTACCAATGATAATATGTTCAGTTTCATTAAACAACTATTTAAATAAATTGGTCTCACCAATATATAAAAATCGTTAACAACTAATTTAAATTGTGCAGTTTGATTAGTTTGCATTTAAAATCCACCAACATTCCCTGCTCACTGGCCCACCTCTCTCTAACTTTCTCTCTCTACCCCCTTCGTCTTCTTCATCTCTCAGCCTCCCTGCTCCCTTCCATCGGAGTGGGGAGGGCCGTTTGTTTGCCTCCTACTTGTGAATAATTTCGGCGTGTCTCAATAAGTTCATTTTGTGGGAAGTTTTCACGCCGTTTTTGCTTTTGTGTGGCTAAATCTGCTTCTGTTTGGTTTGTTTCCGGCTAAACGGGGTAAATTGGTTGTTTTCTGTCCTACTAGATCTCTAATCTGTCGGGAAACGTGCACGTTTTAAAAACTTTTCGAGTGATTTTTTTTCACAGATCTTGATTCATCATATAGAGACAAGTTTTATACAAAAATAAAATATGATGTATCATTCAATTAATGGATTGAATACTTACATCAAATGTTTGAGTAAACCTTTAAATCTTTCCTCTAAAGTGAATGTTCTCACTTATTGTAGATTCCTTAGCAAGATGCCTTCTCATTGGATCTCCATCTCCTTGGTAATTTTTTTGCCTTTAGGAATCACTCATAAGCCTCCGTTAGATGAGAACATAAACCCTAATTTTCTAGAAAGAGAAAATATATTCCTTTTTTCCTTCTACTCAAAATCACCCCTAAAATATACATAGACCATGTATATTTATAGGCAACATAAAGGTAAAGAAAAGGAAACAACTAATCCTTCTCAATCTCTAATTCACATGTCTTAAATCTAATATGATTCCAATATCAAGTTGGGTTATGAGTGAGAATCCTTTGGACTTATTATTTTATTGGCTGTAATGAATTAATAATTGGTCCGGTCCATGGACCCAATTTAATCAATTCATAAATTAATTTCTACTCTACTAAAAGAAATTAATTGAACTCCAATTAAATAATAAATAACCTCTAAGTCAATATTGCACTTTGACCCCTCTATGCATAATTAGTTATCGGATAAATAAAGCCATCAATCCGACTACTTAATTAATATATTTATTTTGGTACCATTGATTATTTCTGGCTCGATCACAATAAAACATTTGTTTGACAAAAATAATAATTTAAATAAATAAATATATAATAAATCATTTTGTCTAAAAACACACAAAGGCCTTCGAATTTACTTTGTGATCAACCATAATCAATACAAAATAAATACAAGTAGCAATGATACAAATATTGAAAATATAACTCTCTAACTATTAATTACATAACTACCCAAAATGTCGGTCTAAGGATCCCGAAGAATCCGCCGAACAAATCAAAGTAATTATTAATTAATACAAGAGTCTATACTTTTCTCATACTTAAGAGTCAAATGCCATGACGGTGATAGGAAGCAATTGCATATGACGGCTCTCGCAATATATCTCAACCTAACGCGGATTCAATTTAAGTCTTAATTAATTATGAGTCCATCCAAAATTACCGACTATGAACAATTTATGATTACTATTTATAATCATGTATTGATCGCCATCACATACATATATAAATATCTCTTGTAATCAAGTGGACACTTTCAATTCTATAATGAATTGAAACATAATACATTGAATTCACCAATTGTATAAAGCATAAATATTTCAGAAACGTCAGGAACATATGTCACTATAATCCAGATAGGAATTTGCTGTGCCAGGGCATATAAATCCCAACAGCTCCCACTTGCCCTCATAGCCAATTCCAATTGCATCTAACTCCAATGTTATCCAGATGATGATCAAAATTATTGATCAATGACACCCTTGTTAATGGATCAATAAAGTTGTGTTCCAATGCAATGTTCCAACCACGAGTACATTTTCTTGCCGGACAATATCATGTAGAACATGATACTTCCTCTCAGTGTATCTTGTTCCTCTATGGAACCTTGGGTAATTGGTTTGGACTACTTCTGCACTATTGTCGTAAAATAGCTCGATAAGCAGGCTAGTATGCTCCACAACCTCTAAATCAGTGAGATTAAACCAAAAAGGCTTCCATTGCCGCCTTTAAGGCTGCAATGTACTCCACCTGCATGTTTAAGTCAGCAGTTGAAATCTGTTTAACAATCTACTAACTAATTTTCCTTCCATTGAGTGAACATACACTAAGTCATAAACCTCATTGTATCTACTTCTGATTGAAAATCAGAACTAGCATACCTGACTAGGACCATATCATCACATCCATAAATGAGTATGATATCCTTGGTCCTCCTTAGGTGCTTAATGATATTTTTCACAACAGACCAGTTATCAAGTCCAAGATTGGATTGATATCTTCTGACTATCCCTACTATGTAACGGATGTCCTATTTGGTATAGACCATGGCATATATGAGACTTCCATATGCCAAAGCATATAGTTCCAGTCTCATTTGCTCAATCTCCTTTGATAGTCTTGAAAAACTACTTACTAGAAAGAGCCATCCATATCAATAGAGCAAGAACTCATTCTTTGAGTTATGCATACCAAACCTGGTCAAAACTTTATCAATGTAGGATTATTAAGATAAGCCTATTTTCCTTTTAACCTGATCTTGCTCAAGCTTGATCCTAGGAATATAGCTTACATCTTGAAAATCCTTCATTTAAAAGTAATTGAACAACTACCTCTTTATTGATGACAAAACTTCCACATCATTCTAAATGAGTAGGATGTCATCAATATATATAGAATCAGAAAAATAATGGCATCCCCTTGTACACTCATGATTTATTCACTAAAAAATCTTCTGGTATCTTTTTGTAGATTAACTTGCCTTCTATAGGTATCACCCTATTAGAAAGTTCTACAAGATCCCAGAATTTATTAGAATACATAGATTCCAACTCTGATTTCATAGTAACTCGCCAAAACGATCTGTATCCATATCGGTTCACACTTCCGTGTAGTTTACTGGGTCCAACTCATGTTTAACAGGGATGTCCATAACGGTCTCACCTAAAAACATGATTCTGTCGGATTGGATAATTATCCTCCCACTACATCAATGTACTGATGAAGGAATCTGTGTACTAGATGATGCTAACATATCAATAGGGAATTATCTATAATTCTAAATCTCTATACTAAGTGTGTTCATATGTGGTACATCTGGTACTCATACCATATTCTCTAACATTATGCTGCTAGGTAAGTAATTCATAATATGATCCTCCTATAGATAAACAGTGAGTGTAAACAATCAACTTTTATCATTGAGATCATAAAATAATCCATCCTAGTGACTTTTAAAGTAGCTATCAAATCTATTATGCGTATGATCTGTTTCCAACTTACTTGTCCATATCAAGTGCACATGTGCAAGACTACCCCATATGTGCATGTGATTTAAACTAAGATTTAGTCAAAAACACAGCTCAACGGTATCCTTGAGACAGACTAAGATGGAATACAGTTCATAATGCGCATCGATGTCATTAACGCTAAACTCTTAAATGAAAGAGATAATATAGCATAACAGATCATAGATCTAACCATGTTAAGCGGAATTCTGTTATTCCTATTTGACACCTAAATCCATTTAGCGTCAATTGCGGAAAACCTGGTACACCACACCCTCATTGACCATATAGTCTTTGCACTATCCCAAGAAATACTCATCTCCACGATCAGATCGGATTGTTTTGATAAGCTTACCTAATCTGTGCTCCACATCAGTCTTGACACTTTCAGAATGTACCAAAAGTTTAAGACTCGTGTCGCATCAAATAAATTTATCCAAAACGTGAGTAATCTTGCTTGTATGTTCATAAGACCACACGTGTCTGTGTGTATCGACTCCAATTGTCCTTTATGTCTATTTCATTTGGCTGATTAAGCCCTTAGAGTTATCTATCCTTCAAAACAGGATTCACAAGTTTGGTTTAGGCTCCTCTACCTCACTAGGTAATAAACCTTCTTTGACCAATCTTTGAATCTCATTTTGATTGATAACAACCCAAAAATAGACATTAAAAATACAATGAGTCAGGAATAACAAATTTTCTCTTAACATTCAATCTAGAAGATGCAACATTAGTTTCTACATCCTGCAAATTTTAAAAGCTTATGATTATAGTATATTAACCATCTTTCAATGCACCAGAAGCAATCGCATATCTATTCAATTTTATTAAACCAGTTTTACAAAATAACAATACAATTTTATAAACCACAAGTGAAACACGAACTTGATTGCGTCTAACTTCTGTACATAAAGATAATTCTCTAATACTAATATCCTCATACTCTCTAATTTCAGATGTAATACTCCCACTGATTTAGCTACAACCTTATCATCGGGTCAAGTACAAATATATTCCATATCATCGAGGCTTCTGGATTTCTGAAATCCTTGTAATGAATTGCAAACATGTTTAGTGGCTCCAGAATCTATCCATTAGGAATTAATACATAAAACCACATAACATGGCTCAATGATTAAATATATATTTTCCTATGCCTCGTCATTGCTTAGACAGTTTGTTCTTGAGCGTCATAGTTAGCGGCAAAAGAAACAATTTACTTCGCCCTCAACATACACTTCCTTATTCCCTTTAACCTTTTAGATACCCATGTTTTGTGCTAGCCTAGTCCTATTATCATCATTCTTCTTTACTTTGTCTGTTCACTTGGGCCTAGAAGAAGATGGTCTAGACTAGGTTA